ACTTGTCGCACATAATTTTTCTAATGAGGTTGCACACTCCATGAGTAATGAGTGTGAATTTTCCTCATAAATAATCAAAGTTCATATCTCTTGTTGTGATTTTTATTTTTTTAAAAAATTTTAAACTTCATGCAATGTTAAATTATATTATAGCCCTATTTGGTAAAATAGTTGGCATATATGTCACTTTTGGCTTATTTGACCACTATTAGTTGTTTGACTTGGTTTAAAAATCAATATAAATGTTGATTAATTAGCTTTTTGTACTCTAAAATGCTAAAATTCAAAAAGCTACTCAAAACAACTTTTTCAATTAGCTTGTTGAGAAAAGAAATTATATCAAACAGTTATCAGCTAACAGCTAATTTACCAAACACATTTTTACAATAAGATAATATTATCAACTAGTTATACCCTCTAATTAACCTAATCAACTAACCGCTACCGCTATCAGCCAACCGTCATTTACCAGGCCTTGTAAATTTTTATCGTTATCATTTGGTCCTTATTTTTAGCATTAACAACGGTCAACGGTGCAATTATTGACCTACTATATAGCAAGCCTTACCAACTTTATTTTCACTTGGCAAAAGCGAGCCAACAGGTGAGGTAAGAGTATAAAGTACTATCAACCTTTAACGTGTCGACTTTCCATTTTTGCGCCGCAAGTAAATCTTAATCTCTTTACGACTTTCTTGGTCCTAAGCAACTTAGGTTATCTCATCCTAAAACATTCTTTCACTTTTAAGAATAAATCCTACCTTCGCAAATTAAAATTACATGAACTAAAATTTTATCAATTTTGTTTTAACATCTGCAATGATTATGAGTTATCATAAATAACTGACATCACTTATATTTTTTTTTTAAAAAGAAATACGTATATTGACATATTGTCATATTAAATGGTGAAAAATATTAGTAAAATATACAATGATATAGTATAACAAAGTCAAGATAGTCAAGTACAAGAATAATACTCAACCACTTGGTTATTGCTTCCCCAGCATTCAACAACTTTTGATCAATGGATATAAATATTTAATTGTTACATTCAAACAATTTGGGGATCAAATTGGTTGAAATTAAAAACTAGGGAATTCATTGACAGTTGGAAAACAATTGATGGACTAAAATGTTAATTTCCCCTAAGTTATTATATTACACGCAAGTGTTCTTATCTATCCATTATATATGAGAATCAGATCAATTTATTTTTTTGACCACATTAAAGTAATTGCATTTTCAAATCTCAATGCTCGAAAATGAGACATGGTCAATACAATTATAGGTAAACCTACAATAATTCTATTGTTAATTGTAGGATGTCAATATATAGATAGTTGCAATAAATTTTGGCAGTAGAATATTTATACCTGATAACGGAAATACGACTAGTATGAAAATCTGAACTAGTATAGTAGCTGCTCCATAGAATTCTTTATTTTCACACTTAACTTGTGACAAGAACTACACCCTACAATCTAGTAAAAGTGTAAAACTACTATTTTATCTCTATATTCTTGCCCACTTCATTCATATCTTCTACCTTCTAGTTCCCATAGAAATGCACATCTTTACTACTAGCAATTTGTGCACATCTTTGCTACAAGCAATTCACAACCTTTACTCTGGGGTACACAAAGGTGTCCTACGATGCATCTCCCTCCTAAAATCACAGATTTATCAACAAACCTAATCAAAAGTATACTCCAATGAACCACAAAAAAAAAAAAAAAAAAAAAAAAAAAAAAAAAAAACAAAACAAAACAAAACAAAACAAAAAACAAAAAAACAAACAAACAAAATAAACAAACAAACAAAAAAAACTAAAACTAAAAAAAAAAAAAAAACATGAAGCTATGCCGAGCAGTCACCATCGACGCAAAAAAAAAAAAAACGAAAGAAGAACAAAGGAAAATGACCAGAAAAATCTCTAAAGTCATTATTATAATTCCTCAAAATCACATAGCATAATCTAGAGAAAATTACCGATTTGGTCTCTCAACTATGAGGATTTCACCAATTTGGTCATCGACTACCAAAATTACTCAATTTGATCCTCGACTATGACATTTTTACCTGATTTGGTCCTAAGTGTTATTTGCAGGTCAAACCTAAAAGGCATTTTTGGGATTTAAAAAAAAAAGTATCTTCCTTCTTATTCCCTAAATCTAAGTCGTTTGTTTTTATATAGATAGGTTATTTGTTTTCGATAGCAGTCGCAGCTTCAATATGCAATCAAAGTGCAGTGAATCATCTTCATCCAGCTATAAGAATCGAATGATGTTCGAAAATGGAGATGCTTATAGCTGGATGAAAATGATGTTGGCACAAGGCAACAAATTTTTAAACATCATTCGATTATTATAGCTAGATGAAGATGATTCACGGCACTTTGGTTGCATATTGAAGCTGCGACGCTATAGAAAACAAATAACCTATCTATATAAAACAAACGACTTAGATTTAGGGAAGAAGAATGAAGGTACTTTTTTTAAATCTCAAAATTGCCCTTTAGGTTTGACTTGCAAATAACACTTAGGACCAAATCAGGTAAAAATGTCATAGTCGAGGACCAAATTGAGTAATTTTGATAATCGAGGACTAAATTAGTGACATCCTCATAGTCGAGGGACCAAATCGGTAATTTTCTCGCATAATCTATTAGGAAACTGCTTGCAATGAAACTACGTGGAAAACTACATAAATACATGCCCCTAACGCAATAAATAACTAAATAAATAAGGGTTTAAAATACCCATAAAACCATATCCATCATATCTTGTCAAATGAAGAGTTCAGATTATATCACAAGTTCTCACATGGGGAATAGTTTTCATATGAACGCGACTATATATATATAGGCCTAGTAGTCCACCGCCAATTGTTCTACAACATGTGCATTTTAGATTTGGGATGCACATGTTAAAAGCGCAGTCAACAAATGGTCAAATAGACAAAGGACCAAATTGTGTTAAAATTGTAAAGTTAAAAACTTAATTGGTTGAAATTAAAAGTCGATGACCAATTTATAAATTTAGCTATAGTCGATAGACCATTTTAGGTATTTACTCTAAATTTAATTATTCTTGCTTTAACTAATACCATAAATTCTTGTCAAAAAAAAAATAATAATAAAAAAACTAATACCATAAATTAAAGGACCTTAGAAACAGATATTCTCACGGAAAAGGAAATAACCATTTTCATGAAATTTTATTCTGTAATTTTAAAAATAAACCAAATGACATAATAGACATTTCATAAAATACTATTCCATTTTCAGTTTATTCCACAAACTAAACACTGCCTAATTATATTTGCATGGTATGCAAAGTTTTGAATTATAATTATTTCAAACACTAATTATAAGATGTTTATTACAGATAAAAAAAAAAAACATAGAATCAAATATTATATGGAAAAATATTGTCATGTATAACCTAACTAGTGTCTCTGAAAATGAGAGAAATGACAAAATTAATAATTACGATTCATTTTATAGTTGACAATTGTTATATGATTAAGTATTATTGCTATATTTCCATTTATTATGGGTAATTAGCATTTTCCTTTATTATTGTGAAGATCTTGTTTATATTTCCTTTCCAAAAAAAAAAAAAAAAAAAAAACTTGTTTTTATAACCAAGAAATGCAATAATTGATAAATGACATTAAACCATATAATTAGGCATAGTGTGGATGCATTATAAAACGTGGAGTCACTTATAGTTCTAGGCTAGTTTACTTTTTCTTTTTGTAATTTATTATTGATTATGGTTTTAAAACGGAGTTTATGAAGCGTAAACTTTCAAGTAGTTGTGAGTTTTTACGTAAATCAAAGAAGTAGCTAATAGTTGTGAATTGTGATAATGCATTAGAGTGTGTTTGGTTCGCACATAGGAATCGGAATCGGAATAGGTATCAAATACTTAGTAATGGTAATGGGTTTTGGTGAAAGTATTTAATATGTTTGGTAGTAGGGTGGAATGTGAATGGTTACTAATAGTAGTGCTTGATAATGAATAAGGGAATGAAACCCTTATTGTATTTGGGTATAGGTTTTTCAATTGATGGAGTATTCGAAACTCATAGTAGTGTTCTAAAAACCTATCAACCAAACAACAACAATCACTTTCATACCCATTCCTATGGGTAAAACCCACCAACCGAACACACCCTAAGTATTGATAATTAAAACATGTTTCCGTCTTAACTAAAATATTAAGTTAATCGTGAGGTTATATATATATGTTCAAGTTTTCGTGCGGACAGTGCTTTTCGTGCGACGGTGCAGCCACTCACTATTAGGTATGCATAAATGCACCACAAAATGTTCGGAAATGCACCATTAGGTATAATGCATTAGTGTATTTCATTGTGGTACATTTTCAAACACTGTGTATCCTATTTTTGCATACCTAATGGTAAATTCGCACCGATCGCACGGGAAGTATTGTCCGCATTTGAATCAGTGTATATATATATATATATATATATATATATATATATATATATATATATATATATATATATATATATATATATAGAGAGAGAGAGAGAGAGAGAGAGAGTGAGTGAGTGATGTTCCTATGAACCTCCTCAATGAATACATGAGAACCAATATGGTGCATTAAGAAAATAGATCTATGAATGATATCTTTTGTATATGTTATAGTAGAAAAAGTAAATTCCCACATGTTTAGTTCACTATTCAGTAAACAGTATCTAGATAAAGAGATCAAACTAGATTCAAAACTGGACAGTTGCACTGTGTGAATTATATCCAAAGTGGAAACTCCGAACGCTATCAATTAAACCAAAATAAGCTAACATTTCTCGACTTATCTCCATCATTAAGTTTTCAAACAAAATTGAAGCAATGGAAGTAGTCGGAGTTGGAGTTGAAACAAGAAGCCAACATATGCTTTTCTAGTTAAGGTTTGTGCTTTCATTTTCACAAAGCCCACATTTGGTTGTTTTGTTTGGGTGGGCAAAGCACACATCTCCCCAGCCCCACTCCTCTCTTTTCTTCTTCTTCTTCTTCTCTCTCTCTCTCTCTCTCTCTCTCTTTCTCTGCCAGCTGACTGTCTTCCCATATGCCCCAAACCCATTCACGCTGAAAGATCCTTCGCCTTAACACCTACCCTCTTATTTAACCACTCCCACTGTTCAACCGGAGACACAACAATAACTGTTTCCCTGTTTTTCTCTCTCCCCTTTTTTCCGCCTTCATTCATTTCCACTGTTTTCTCCGTGACGTGAAGAGTTGCCTGCCTGACAGCGGTTTCAGAAACGGCAGAGGTGAAATAGTTTTAGTTTCCTCGGATCTTTGGTTGTTACTGTTGGGAGATCAGGTTTGGGATACATGGTTGGTGGCGGCGGGATTTGGCGGCGGGTGTTGGTGGTGGTGTTTGTGGCATGCGCCGCCGGGATGGGGGCGGCGGATCCCAACGACGAGCAGTGTTTGACTCATCTCAGTGAGTCGTTGGAGGATCCGATGAAGAATCTGCAGAACTGGACGAAAGACAGGTTCGCGAATCCTTGTACAGGATTCACCTCGTACTTGCAGGGCGCGACTTGCAACAATGGCCGAATCTATAAGCTTTCGCTTAATAATCTCTCCCTCCGAGGCTCCATTTCGCCGTATCTCTCAAATTGCACTAATCTCCAGGCGTTAGACCTTTCTTCTAACTCCCTCTCTGGGCCCATCCCGCCGGAGCTTCAGTTCCTCGTTAACCTCGCCGTCCTTAACCTCTCCGACAACGACCTCTCCGGCGCAATCCCGCAGCAGCTCGCCCTCTGCGCCTACCTCAACGTCATCGATCTCCACGACAACCAGCTCTCCGGCCTCATCCCGCCGCAGCTGGGGCTTTTAGTCCGGTTATCCGTCTTCGACGTCTCCAACAACCGGCTGTCCGGCCCGATTCCGGCGTCGCTGGGGAACCGGAGCGGCAACCTGCGGCAGTTCAATGCGAGCTCGTACGAGGGGAATAAGGATCTGTACGGGTACCCATTACCGAACAAGAAAAACAATGGGCTCTCCATTTTAGCCATTGTGGGGATCGGGTTGGGGAGTGGGCTCTTGAGCTTGGTGCTCAGCTTCACCGCCGTCTGTATGTGGTTGAGAGCCACCGAGCAAAAAATGGCCGCCGAAGAAGGCAAAATCGGCCATCTCATGCCTGATTATTAGATTAAATTAAGCAAAAAAGAAAAAAAAAAAAACTGTATTTACAGGTATGCTAGCCTAGCCAGTACTTCTTGATGATCAAGATCTTTTTTTTTTTTTTTTTTGTTGTTGTTAATTTTTTACTTTAGTTTTTCCCCATTCCTTATTGGTTGGATTTTGGGGTAGGGTGGCAGGGGGTTTTCTTCCTTGATCAATTGCTCTTGTCCTTTTATTGATCACTGGAATTTTACCCTTTTCCTGTTTTTGGTTTCTTTCATTTTCTTCCCCTCTTTGCAGTCTTGGTTGAAAGACCAGTTTTGGTCCCCCTTTTTTCCCCTTAACAAATTGACAATGTATAAAGAATTTGAATGCACTTAAACCCCACTAGATTGCTGCACAACTTTACTTCTTTCTTGATTCAATCCCCATTTCCATTCAAGAATTGGTGTGTTAATAGAAACAAAATAACCAGCTCAGTTGGTCACTCAGCGAACTTTGGAAACAATGACCCGATATCGAGTCTCATTAGCCATCAGTGAGAGCAGTTGGTCATAGGGTGAAGTTCGGAAACAGTGACCCGATATTGAGTCTCATCAGTCACCGGTGAGAGCAATCTCTCAAAGTGAGGTGTTTTTTATGCGCAGTAAGCAAATGTCTAGCTTCTGTGTTCACCTGAATTATCATGATTTATATCCTCCTATAAATGCTTATTTTATGAACATTTGAAGTAAAATTACACCGAGCTACTTACTCATCTTTACATCATTTTGTTTGAGGTGGTGGAAGGCCATTTCCAAGAACACCACAGCCACACATATTCTTGCATTATTGTTTAGCAGTAGACAGTAGTATATTCCAATTTCCAAGCACTTGGCTCTAGGTATCAAACAAGGTTTCTCATTTCTCCCCCTATTTAAATCTAAGCACAATATGATCCTATAATTAATTACATTATATTTCAATTAACATTGTAATATATGCAAGGTTTTTAAGAAAAGAATTCTTTATATGACTCACATGTCATTAATGTTTATTTTAAGGAATGATAACCAAGTATGATGACTAGGGTCCAAAAATGATACTGTTTACAATGTTAAACAAATAAAATAATAAAGTTGATAAACAGGGATTGCAGGTTTGACAGGAATGGCCCTTAAATTAGCACTATGATTGAAGATGGTGGATTGAGTGGTTGACATCATAATCCATTGTGGACTTGTTAACATTCTACCTTTCTACTGTTCTGTCTTTATTACTTTAAGCATTCCTTTATTTTATACTTATTACTTCAAAGTTCAGCAACTTATTATTAGGCTATTAGAACAAAATGGATCATACTTGAAAATAAAAATGAAATTTTACAATACCCAAGAAAATGTGGTTACTACTATAGTTTGATAAAGACAGACATAATGACATTTTTATAAGTTTTAGTGTAATACTGAATATTAGATTATAATCCAATAAATTTAGCACATTTGGTCTAAGTAGAAGTATATTAGACATGCATGTCAAACATCATTAATCTCATTTAATGCTCACGTGTGGAGCTGTTGTCATAACAAAACAAGCCGGCGGACGTTACTTGTGAGTCCTCAACTGATAATTATATATGCCGGATGCTTAGAATTATGGGAAAACCTTAGTGTAAATAGTAAGTTTTCACATGATATTTAGATCCCACTGGTATCATTTGGTATTGTTACCATGTTACCTTCTTAATAGATGATTGTATTCAGATTACTTCTTAAACACTGAGTTAATACTATTTGTTATCCATATATACATGATTACATAGTATTCACCCGCATGAGCAGCTCAACTGGTCATAGAGGTGAAACTTTGGAAGAATGACCAGGGATCAAGTCTCACCAGCGGTAGTAGAGGTTCCTTGTGCGCGGTGAGCACCGGTTTAACCTTTGTGGTTCATGTTCAGTTCAGTTACCAGGATGTACCATGATTTCCATCCTCAGGTTGGGGTTCTCCCTTTTGAAGAATGAAACTCATTAAACGTTTATGGTGATCTATTTTACGTACTAAAAGTAGTAACTAGAGTTAATTAATTAAATCCGTCAAAAGTAACTATCATTTTATTTATAAAGAGGTAATATTTTCTTTTTAATTTATGAAAAAGTCTGCAATCGCTACCTGAAGTTGTACTTGTGGGTGAAGTTCGTATTGTAATCCTAACCGTCAAATGATCATAACGAGATAAATCAGTTTGAGTTGCTCATAACTAACTTGCTCAAATCAAAGAAAAGTACGGAGTAATAAACAACTTTTTTAAAAAATAAAATCAAACTTGGATATAATTTCTTTTGTTTATATTAAACTTATGCGATGGGTTGAGTGTTTAGAGACAAATGGCCCAATACACCGAAAGCAAAGAGGGGCAGTCAAACCAAAGCTTTTGATTCCCCTCATTGATGAGAGCTCCAAGAATAGCATGCATGCCATTATTTCAGTGGGGGCCAAATTGCCAAATATCCAGTGATTCTATTTACTTTTTAGAGGTAAAAAGGAAAATGGATTAATGAAAATTTAGGGATTGTTTGGTTCAAGTTATATAACATAATTAAGTGTATGTGACATTACAAAGTTTACATTTTCGTATTTAATTCATATTATATTACTTCTCAAGGGAATATAACATTTCTCAACGAATGTAACTGATGGATTTAATTAACCAAGTGGCCCCAAATTATTAAATCCGGATAAGAATGTAAATAATAAAAGGATGAAAATATGTCGTAAAGGTCGCGGAGACCGTATATTATATTGAAGTGTCGTAAATAGGCTATTAAGATGATTCGCTAGGACAAAGTGTGTAAGATAATGAAAATGTGTCTTAAAGAGACAAGGTGGTGGTTGTTATACAACCCCCATCCCTAACCGCCACCCCCTAAAGGCGGGGGCGGGGGGTTGGATCCAAGTTGACCGCGCCCGGCTGACTGGTTCCCAGGTCGGACCGGTTTATGGCCGACCCCTTTGGGGTTGGCACCTACTCCTAGCCGAGGACCTATGGGTCGAGGCCTCATAGGCTGAGCACGGGCCTTAACCCCCGGGGCCCCAGATCTTGCTCCACTTCTACGGGTCGATTTGCTCCTATCGTAATATATCCATCAGTAACATATTCGAAAAATGTGAAAGTTATCTAAGATTACCATGGATATTTATAGATTTGGTCATTTTAATTCTAATTATTATAAAATATATATTTTATATTAATGTATTATATGTATCATATTTAATTATTTTTGTAATTATATATTCTATTTTATTTTTTATTACATCATGTTGCTTATGAAATAATATTGTTTTTCAAGTCTAAGTTTTTAGTTAATTATGATTTTTTATTTTAATCTACATATTTGTATTTTTATTTTATATTGTAATGTATTTGTTTATGACAAATAATATTTGTTATTAAATGTTCTTTAATTTTATTTTATATATAATTATTAATAAAATAAATTCATGTGCTCAACAATTATTTTATCAAACCAACTAACAAGTGGAACTGGACAAGGATAGTCACAGGCAAAACGGGTCGGGTAAGACTTCGGGTTTTGACTCTAAAATTGAATCTTTAATCCTTATGCCAATTTGCCTACTGCAAAACTGAAACCCTAAACCCTTGGCGCCTATCCTTTCTCATTCAGTCGCTCTCCGTCTCTTCCAGCACTCTGCCATGGCGAAGAAGGAGAAATCACGAATTCACAAGGAAAAAGAAGAGGAGCCAAACGAAGAACAACATCCCGAAGAAGAGCAGCCAAATGCGGAGTCGTCAGATGGTGAAGAAGAAGAGCAGACGTTCGAAGAATTAGGTCTGGACCCTCGACTTGTCCGTGCTCTTAGCAAGAAAAGCATTGAGAAACCAACTCCCATCCAGCGCGTTGCTATCCCTCTTATCCTTGTACGCCATTCTCCTATCATCTTCAGTCATTAGATACCCTACTTGTCAGCTGACCTACAGTTTGATGGTTTTTACAGGAAGGTAAAGATGTGGTTGCGCGAGCAAAGACTGGTTCTGGAAAGACCTTCGCCTACCTCCTTCCTTTGCTTCAGAAGCTTTTCTCCAATTCGCCTTCCAAGAACAATTCTGCTCCCTCTGCCTTCATTCTCGTTCCTACTCGTGAACTCTGCCAGCAAGTATGAATTTTATTCCACTGTTTGAAATTTTAAGCTTAGGGTCAATTGAAATTTTATTTTAATAAATTTTGAACTTTTTGTATTTTGCTACTACTAATACTATTTTTTCAGGTTTATTTGGAAGCTATGTCCTTACTTGAGTTGTGTAGAGTGCAATTAAAAGTTGTTCAATTTACAAGTACCATGTCAATTTCTGACCTTGTAGGTTAAGTACTTAAGTTCACTAATTGCCTGCCTGCAGATGTTAGTATACTTAATTTGATGATGCAATATTAACAGAGGTGACTGCCTGAACTTTAATATGCAGAGAACCACATTTGCTGGGTCTCCTGAAATTCTTGTATCTACACCAGCTTGCATTCAGACGTGCTTATCAAATAGTGTTCTTCAAGCAGAAGCTCTTCAAAATTCCCTCTCAATTATTGTGCTAGATGAGGTGGGTGAAATTTGCTTTTTTTTTTTTTTTTTGCTTTATGTAATTGGACAAATGTTGTTATGCATTTCTTGGTGAACTAGTACAACCTTTCTGAAAGGTTAATTAGATTGTTGCTTACATTACCTTTCCTAATTTGAATAGTTGAAATTTATATTTTTACTGCATGGATGTTTTAACTTTTAATGTGCACGAGTTTGATATTTTGTGTTTTTTTAGGCCGACCTTCTTTTGTCATATGGTTACGAAGATGATCTAAAAGCTCTTACATCTCACATACCTAAGCGCTGCCAGTGCCTTCTCATGTCAGCTACTTCAAGGTCTGATCTGCCGTTTGCTCTGGATGTTCTGCATGTTCACTTTTGAATTTCATCACATTGCTATTTGTTTAATCTCTCATATATGAAAGAGAGTGATAGTGTTCTTGAATTTATCCCTTCTCTGGAACACATTTGCTCTTATATATTTCTTCTAAATTTTATATGGAATAGATTGTTAAAATTTGTGCACAGGCACATAAATTTAAATATTAGATTTTATTTTATCCATCTCCAGATTTCAAAAGATTGGTGTTAATCTGTTTTTTCATGTAAATATCATTGCAGTGATGATGTTGAGAAGCTGAAGAAGCTTATATTACATAATCCCTACATCTTAACTTTACCCGAAGTGGGTGATGTTAAGGATGACATAATTCCCAAGAATGTCCAGCAATTTTATGTAAGAGCTTTTGTGCCTTATAACTAAAATACCTGATTTAATATCATTTTGACTTATGACGGTGTGAGCTTTTATTACCATTTTTTTTTCTCGTGTGTTTAGATTTCTTGCAGTTCCAATGACAAGCTTGTACATATCCTCGCCCTCCTGAAGCTTGAGTTGGTTCAGAAGAGAGTCCTCATATTTACAAATTCTATTGACATGAGTTTTAGACTGAAATTATTTTTTGAACAGGTAGCTTTTCCACTTGTATAGTTTTAAGCATCTGGAGGTGCCTTATCCTCTAGAGTTTCCTATATTGTTGGGTTTACAAGGTCATGAGTTAGACTAGCTAATTGATTGGATTCAATTTTTAGTGTGGTTTGGCCCAGGTGCATTATAGCCTAGTTGAGTGACCTTGGCCAATCTTAGAATATAACAGAAGCAATTGAAGTTCTTAAGTTTAATCTTTTTTGTTGAAAATCTTACTGACAGTTCGGGATTAAGGCTGCCGTTTTAAATGCTGAGCTTCCACAGAATTCACGTCTGCACATTCTGGAGGTGTAATGCCTGTGCTATAATCTTATGAAAATTTGAATTTTATTTGCCTTCAGGTATATATATTTTTATCCTTTGTATATCTTGTCAGACTGATCGCTTGTGTTACTGCTTCTAAATTAGGAATTCAATGCTGGCCTATTTGATTACTTGATTGCAACTGATGACAGCCATTCAGAAGGAAAAGAGCAGATTGATGGTAGAAGCCGCAAGGAACAGAAAAAATCTAAAAGGCATCCAAAGCAGAAATTGGACTCTGAATTTGGGGTTGTGAGAGGAATAGACTTCAAAAATGTGCACACTGTAAGCTTATGTTATTGCAAGCATCTTTTCTGGAGTGTTCCCAATTTGAAATCACTTTTTAATTTTAGGTTGTCTCATATTTTTATCTACTTGTTCTTGGAACTAATTGTAGGAATCTATTTATTCTACATTTTAACAGGTAATCAATTTTGACATGCCTCAAACAGCTGCAGGCTATGTTCATCGCATTGGACGTACTGGTAGAGCATATAATACGGGTGCATCTGTCTCCCTTGTAAGTATTTGAGGAGATATGTAAAATGCATGTGTGTGCATAATGGAATTTTTTGCTTTTCTTATGATTTTTTTTTTTTTAAATAAAATAAAATTACAATTTCAATATCTTGGGACCAGGTTAGCTGCAGTTCAATGTATCAATTGTATTTCATAAATTCTATATTTTCCATTGCCATAGTATAGTTGGAAAGGTGAACATTTTTTTCTATCCAGAGATTTTAAAATCTTATGATTGTGTTTAAACAGGTTTCTCCAGAAGAAGCTGAAATTATTCAAGAGGTCAAATCTTTATTAGGAGAAAATGATGGCAATGAATCAAATTTTATTGCTCCCTTTCCATTGCTCACTAAGAATGCAGTAGAGTCTTTGAGATATAGAGCTGAGGTAATAATATATATCTGTTGTTTGAAACTATTTCATAAAGCTTTTCGAATGATATTAACCAGAAAATGCTCTTTTGACAAGATAATATTTTTGCTCTGCTTGATAATTGTACATTTTTTTTCCCGACAACATCCATGCACATATCTCAACTCTCAAGGATGCAATATACTTTGGTGCAGTCTAATGAGCATGTGAACCCTCTTATGTCCTTATTGAAAGAGATTTTCTCCCAAGTGTAAAAAAGCTGTGAGAGATTGATAATTGTTCAAATGTGTGATTTTCTGTATTGCTATTGATATCTTTAAAAATTACAACATTACAGGATGTGGCAAGGAGCGTTACCAAAGTTGCTGTAAGAGAATCACGTGCTCAGGATCTGAGAAATGAAATTCTCAATTCTCAAAAGTAAGTTCACAGAGATTCTTATTTTTATTTCCTTATTGTTCTTTCTTTTTAGGGATACTCGCAAACACACAGACAGCTTCCTCTTTCTCTCCTGTTCACCCCAACCCCACTTTCTTTTTGAAACATGTTTGGGATCTCTTCTTTACTCCCATGTCACCCACTTGTACCATTCAATAATTTGGTGGATGCTTATTCTGTTCAGGTTGAAGGCTCATTTTCAAGATAATCCTCGGGATTTAGGTATTAAAGCTATACTTTTTTTTTTTGAAATTTTGCGAAACTTTTAAGCATGATACTTACACGTATCTTTTATGGTATGGAAAGATCTTTTGAAACATGACAAAACCCTTAGTAAGAAGGCTCCTGCTCCACACCTGCGCGATGTGCCTGACTACCTTCTGGACCCAACAACACAGGAAGCTAGCAAGATTGTAAAACTTGCTAGAGCAGCAATGGGAAACGAGAATGCTCCTCGCCGCAAAGGGGGGTTGAAGGGAAAATTTAAAAGATCTAGAGATCCTCTTAAAACATTCTCGGCAGAGGTATAGTAACAAACTCTCATTCACTATTATTGTTTTCCTTTGATTACATGACCTGCCAGAACCTCTTTTGTTTCCCAAATTAGGTCCCTATCAAAGAGAAATCTGGCCGCCATCTTTTGGTTATTATTTTACCTCACCTTATCGACTATGATCCACTACACATTCTTATTTTTGGCAACCCGAACGGGCTTCTATTCTGTAACTGGTAGTGTGAACTTGTTTCTGCTTGATTAGATGTATCTATCATCTTTGACCTCAGGCACCAAAAAGAGCTTCTAAAGGTGGGATGAAGAGGAAGTCAAAAGATGCAGATGCTGATGCTGGGCATAAACACAAAAAGAGGTAGAGTGTACTAATATCATTCAAGTAATTGCAACTGTCCTTGACAGCTTATGCATACAAATTTTGTAAACTGTTTAGAATCATAGATTCAAAGTTTTGGTCATTGTAGTTCATTTCCAAAATGGGTGCTTTAAATTTTTATTTCTATGAGAGTAATATTATGGGCCCTCCAGCTTTATGGTTAGTGATGATTGGTCTAAATGGCCCATTTAGGGTTCTGTAATTTGACAATCAATTAATTATAATGCCAAGTTGAGTGGTATGTATTGATTGCATTTTTACTAGTAACTAATTTTTCCTTTTTCAAAAAGAAGTATTTTAGTGTCACTCTTACCAGGAAAATTAGAAAAATGATTGAAAATGGGGAATTCTTATAATCATACATGTAATAGGCAAAAATTTGTGTGAGACCGTCTCACCGTGAGACGGGTTGGAATGTAATACTGATATGCACAAATGACCTTATATGCTCAAATGTAATATTAATTTGGAATAAAATTTGTGTTATTGGTAAATGTAATACTTTTACATTTCGATTTAAAAGTATTACATTTTTTCTCAAATTATTATATTTTGCCTTATAAGGGGCACTTACTTATTATAAAAAATGTAATATTTTTACATCAAATATAAAAGTATTACATTTTTTCTTATAAATGACAAATTTTTTTATTCTTGATTAGTATTACGTTTGAACATATAAATGTGACATTTGTGCATATAAGCATGACATTTGTATGCTGATTCGACCCGATCTAACCTATCTCACGAATAAAGATCCACGGTTTTACATAAGTGTGACCAATGATAATATATGCTAATGAAAAAGGGTCATTTTAAAAAGTTTATAACACAAAAAAAAAAAAAAAAAAAAAAAAAAACAAGAAAACGTGCAAGAAATTAGTTAAAATGATAATATATATTGTACGTCGATTTCGAGATGCCATTCCAAACAAAATATGGACAGTTGATTCCTTTGTCTTCAATCTAACGAGAATATGATTCTCATATGCATTCCGATAAATATGCAGCTTTCTTCTTTCATGGCTTTATCTTGCCTGATTAGTCGCATTCCATGCGTATTTGTTTTTGCATATCCGAGGAGGATACTCATACTTCACTGCTACTAAAGTATTAGTTTAATAGTAGCTTTAGCTGAGTTGGTCAAACAGTTATTTTGGAAATTTGATTCTTTATTGGAGTTAATTTGATTTGCTATTGGAGTTGCTTACTGGGTATTGACGTTTTTAGTTTAAGTTCTTTAGTTATGGACAACTTAACTTACAATGACATACAAATTTATTTTTAGTATACTGCATGCTCAATTTTAGTATATAATCTAAAAGTGAACTTATAGTACATTAAAAATGAACCATCAGTATATTTGTCAACCTATATTAATGTTGGTAGTGCCCTATTAGTCCAATTCACATTTTAGAATGTTGGTTGAGTTCAGTCTATTATAGTTTATTTAAAACTTTAAATTAATGAATTTTAAAAATTGTTTAAAATTTATAAAATATAATTTATATTTTTAAAATTTTGATTTTGATTATAATTATACAATTTTAATTTTATTACATATTTCTATAATTATTAAATTATATACTTTTTGATACATTTATAAAGTTAAAATTTATATTTTTTTTTTCAAGTATTACTAATACAGAGTAGTATTTGAAGCACAGAGTCAATGTTCCCATTAGGGTAAATAAACTTTATAAACTAAAACTTACAAATTTTGTAAATAAAATTAATACAAGTTACCAATATTCAAGTTACAAATTATAATGAATAAATCTATCACACATTGGTTGTGCTTAGGGCCACCCATATAGGCTTAGTGTATCATCCATCCAACAAAAGGAAGAAGGTGGTAAACAACTAATTGGGTCCAACGGGTCACTTTTATCAAGTTCCCTTTCCTTAGGTCCTGCCATCCTGCACATTCCTTAGCCGTAGGGAGGTCCTTCTTGATTACCGGGGCACTCTTGCTAATGTTGAAGGGCTGATCAGTAGACGCACTTACGTAGATTGCATGGGTTGACTATCGTGGGTCTCTTGCGAAATGAATACTTTGATGGTTGACCCATTTTGTTGGTCTCTTGCGGGCTGACCCGCGACCCCTTGAATACTTTGATTTATTTATGTGCTAGTAATCTCTGGTTGACCCATTTTGTTGGTCTCTTGCGGGCTGACCCGCGACCCCTTGAATACTTTGATTTATTTATGTGCTAGTAATCTCAAGTTCGATAGCTATTGGTGTAGTTGGACGCGTGGCTCTTGATTGGTTTGTCCAAGTTTGATCCCTCTTGAGGAGACATGTTTTGCTTATATTGGACCGGGTTGCCCCGTCCTCTTGTGGGCTGACCCGGAACATGGTTACATTGACTTATGAATTATTTATGAGATGAAGATGTCAAGTTCGTTAGCTGCTGGGGTGGTTTGGACGCGTGACTCATGACCAGGTGGCTCGATTTCGTTCTTTCATGCTAGCTAGCTTTACCTTTCTATTGATTATTTTGCTTTCTTGTTATCGTAACTAGACTAGGTTCACATTTAAATTTCTCATTTAAATTGTCGTAGTTTTGGTTACTTGACATCATCTTTTGTACTCGTTCTTTTGTTGTTTAGAATGGAATAGTATTGATCACGAGTTGAATGAAATTTATGTGAATATTATGCTTATAAATCATTGTTCTGAAACTTGTGATAAATTGTGTAATGATTTGTGTGTTGATAATTTGAAATTGTTTGGTGAAATTAAGTAGCTAATGACATCTCATGCGACAATGTGAAATTGTTTGGTGAAATTAAGTAGCTAACAACGTCTTTCTCTCGTAATAGCTAAGTCAGACTCGTAAGTGAGTAAGGCAAAAATCTCGCAATTGAAAGCTTTGTAAGGAACTTATATTAGTTGAACTCTTTGATGGTTACAAATGAGGACCTTGAGGGGTATTTATAGCCATTCCACCTCTCAATGGATGGTGGAGATCTACTTAATCCTACGTCTAGTATTTACTCTCTAGAATCATTCCAAAATTTCTATACAAGCATGAAGATTTTTAAGGTTCTAGAATGTTCTAATCATCTCTTGCAACTTCTAGTTGTTATGTACATGCCTCTAGACTATTCTACAAACTATGAAATGCTATGTACAAATGTTAAAAAGTTGTAGAGCGATAGCAAATCTCATAAATGTGTAGCAAAGTTCAATGGACGCTACATTACTCTACTTTGTCATCACTAAATGAATTCAACCAATTTATTAAGACTATTATATCATTAATCAATAGATTTAAAAAAAAATTCTTATAATATAACATCATGTTATTTAAAAATAATTTTTTTTTATAATATCAAGTCTGAGAGTATTGTCTATTAAAAATGAGAAAGTTGCATAAGTAGTATCGCAAGGTGGAAGGGCACGCATCTTTTCAACGACTTTATTGATCGGATTCTCAATCTTCCCTAAAATATTCCGGCTAGAACTAACAAATACATATTCCCTATTTTCATATTACCCTTTTGTTCTCTTCACTCTCCCTTCAAAAAATATTCGTGACACAATGATACTAATAGAGACTCTTTAGTAACAGATCAGCGTTTTATACACAATAACAATAACAAAATTGTAATATTTCTTGTCAAAAATACTGAATGAGAAGAATTTTGAAGAAAATCTAACTTTACATATTTAGACTTGATTGGAAATTTAACCAATATATTGGTTGGTTTCCTTTTTTCAAATTGAAGCCAAGACTTTATAATGAGCAGACAAAAATGAATGCATTATGCATATGCGTTGTTGCTTCTTTTGTTAAGCCACAGCATTGACAACTGTCGTGTGCGGCCCTGCGCGACTCTCCCCCCAAACGCCACTCGACCCCACTGCTATCCTTTTCAATCGTAGTCAAATTAACTTCTTTTATTAATTTTTTTTTTTAATACTACTAATTCATGTACTACATAGTATTTATTCATACTTTTTTAATCGAAACATAAATAGTCAATATTTTTACCAGAGTTTGAACCTGTGACCTCCTATTTAGAAAAGTTATAGGGATACCATAGAGATACAAGTAACTTGGCCTTAGACAATTGACTTAATAATTATAAAAATTTTAATTTAATTTTATTGACTTTTTTTTATTTGAACAAATACTCATGAAAACTTAGACTGATTTAACTTGTGGTCCTTTGTTAGTTAATATATTTTGCTCATAATGTATCTTTCGAGTGACTGCAAACTTTTTGATAAATAACAAATAAATTTTCTCCCGAAACTTAGTGGTTTGTCGCTTAACTTAGAGGTATCATTGAAGGCGACAGTATGAGAAAATTAGAATTTGACATGTGACTTAATTGTGTGACTCGTAATTTACTTGAACTCTAGAGACAAAATCATGTGTATAGTAAATAAATAAATCTATAGTATATATGATATTCTGATCACTATTCCAATTTCCAAATGGTGGTCATATGTGTATAGTATTTCAATCATGATTTACGGTATAATTTGGACTGTCGTTTTTGTGTTCTGCCAAAAATGAAAGCGATGTTTCTAAGCTCACCAATCCCGAATGTTGGCTATAAAAAGAGACCCACCATCCCGCCGGTGTCTCTCGTCCTCCGCAAAGATTCACGACGAAAGGGAACCCCGTCCGCTCTGAACATTTATTATAAAGAAGCCTTAACCGGAGGGACTCAAGTTCCAATCCTGAAGGGGGAGAGGGCGAGTGAGATGACGCTCATGGATAACTACATTGCGGGAACATTCATGGTTTCTCTTTTAGGGTTTGTTCTTTTCTATGTCATGCGCCTTGGGACCTCGAGTTTCAAGAAAAAAGGCAGTGAAACCCGCCGGAATGGCGCCGGAACGCGAACTTGTAAGGATAACGGCGAATGTGGGACCCGCAAGGAGTCCGATGCCGATGTCATTGTCGTCGGAGCTGGTGTCGCCGGTGCTGCTCTCGCTCACACCCTTGGCAAGGTCAGATTTCTTCTTCCTTTGCATTTACAGTAACATTATTTTAATCCTGGGGGATTGATTACTTCCTGCTTTAAATCTGTTTCTTGAATGTCAATCGAATTTCCCTTGCATTTCATTGTTTGCCGGCCTAAATCTTCCCCGCCACCATTGCAGGATGGACGAAGGGTTCATGTGA